CATATCATATGGCCGCTTACCAGACAGGGAAGAATCCAGACAGTAACCATTTGACCTGCTGGCATGTGTCCTTAACAGTCTATATCTTTAGGCAAGGATTTGCCAATGTAAAATACACCATACTGTATCCAATAATACTTTTTGCAGTCCAGGTTAAGTACACTGTTTGCCAGGTGAAGTTACAGTTGTCAAAATTGTATGGTTGCGTAATTAAGACAGGCATTTCTGTTGCTAGGCATTAATGGAATGAACTAAAGAACTGTGTAGGTACTAGGTTGTTCTGTACACCTTAACCAGTGACAGGTGAACCTTTACAGGATTTGTCTTTTGTACTAGGTAAACAGAATGTTTATCTTTAGTCTAGACTGAAGCAATAACAATTTTAAGGGGAAGAAAACTACAACAACAACCTTGCTCGTTTTGGTAGGTTAGTTACAGACAAACAGCATTTTACTAACATTTTCTGTGGCATTTTGCAATATCATGAAACCTTGCAAAAAGTGAAAGTACAAATTTCAAAACTTTGTGGCACATATGATTTTTAAAACAAAAATTGTTTAATTAATGGGTTCAATTTTTTACATCTTGCCTAGATATCAAAACACAAAATTTGATATAGAACAGTAATAATTAAAGGTGCTCTAACTTAAAGCAAAACTATGAGTGGTTTCAACTTTTTCTGAGGTAAGAAGTGAAATAATTCTCCCAAACTCCCCTTGTCTGTTGTCCATTCTCAGTGTCATTCTGTTCAGAATTGAGGTTGACCTGTCTTGACCTAAGGGTGTCCCTAGCATTGACCCCTTAACCCTCATGGCCACTGCCAACAAAGAAAGGCACAGCAGAAAGGACCTCCTATTGACAACAGATGTGTGGGGATTTGGATGTCTGGTTCATTATGTGGGAACTCACCAGTCCTATAGTATTTACAGGAACAGTTCTTGTCCTTGGTTTTTCATTAACATTTCACTAACATGGAAATAACATATCATGCATTTAAAATCATTTATCCTTAGTTTTGACAATGTGACGTTTACTAGAGATACTTATGATGTGGTTTGGTCAAAGATTTGCTTTCTTGTTGTAAAGTGGTCTGGTCTACTGTACATAAAATAATTTATTCATTATTGTATGAAACATTCAAAATAAGGAGCTTGATTGTTGAAAAGGTATTTTGTCCTGCAAAATACGCATTGCGTGTTACAATGTTGTAATTTGTGAAGCTTGATTTTCTTCTATAAATGTGTGCACAAGAAGTACTTATTCTTTTTTGTGTGTGTTTCAGACAATAGACCAGTTTGTATTTGATGGCTGTGACAACTGTGAACCGTACCTGCAGCTGAAAGGAAACAAGGACCTTGTCTATGACTGCACAAGTTCCAATTTTGATGGGTAAGCAAAAGCAATTTTACTTCTGAACTCGTTTTAATTTTGTATATCTTAAGATATAAGGACTATAATTGATTTTAATGTTTAGCCATCCACCAATGAAACCTTCAGTTTTTTTATATAAAAATTGGCACAAACCATAAGCCAGTTCATCGTACCCACAAATGACGGTCAGAATCAGTAAATATATTCATTGTTGTTTGTTGTTAGGTTCACTTTGCTGTTTTTCCCCACACATTAGATAGTACGTGTATCATAGAGCTATTCTTTACATCCTCTCCAGTTTCGTAAGCATTACCAGATTTAATCTATGATACTCAAGAACGGTACCTACATTGCTGAGGTATGTGTTTGATGTTTCTAGAGTTCGTTGCGATGATTTTTTTCCTATTTCCCACCAGAGTTGTTTCCATGATGTCACCAGATGACAGCTGGGTGGCCAAATGGCAGAGGATAAGTAAGTTAACATCTTTGATTCTTCGTAGTTCTAGTGTGAAGAGTTGAGAACCCTTGTGCTTCAACAGTAGGAACATACATGGTCTACGTATGAAGTGCTATGTTTGATTCATGAGGCAATATGGCAGGCTGTTACTTTGTTAGTCACCACAGCCGTAACAAAACTGCCCTCTAGGAAGCAAAACTGAAAGTGCAGGCTGGTCAGTGGCTTGCCTGATTAGAGGATCATCACTTTACCTTACCCGTGTACCTCCCGTTATTTGTTTGTCACATTTAATGTGAAATAATCCTTGTTCCTGAGCAATGTTCATGTCTGTATTGTTTGATTTCAGATCGATTCAAACCTGGTTGTTACGCCATATCAACAACAGGACGTCTCCCACCGAGCATCGTACGAGAACTGAAGACACACGGCATCACCTACCGGTCCAGAGACACCAGCCAGAAGACATAAGACTGGCAACGACACATGTCCGGCATATCAGATTTAAGACCTAACTTACATCATGGAAGAAAGATCCTCACCCACTTCTCAGTGTCTACAGTACTGTGGACCTGAAAATAAGCTGCATGTAATGAGAAATGTGTACTTGTAGATGGTTCCTTTATTTAATATTTGTTCATAAGGAAACCTGTCAAGAATGTGTAGTACATGTATCTTTGTCAACAGTAAGTATGAAGGTTGTAAATGCTCTGTAAAACCATCATACAAGTGACTGGACTTTAGTGTTGTGGCGAACATGTAGTACTGTGCTGTGCTGTTGTAAGGCCATCTCAGTATGTACTACTATAGAGTACATAGAGACAATATGTAAATTGTCATGCTTTGCTTTACCTTATATTTCATTCCATTAAACTGTAGCATCATTAAGTTATTTGTGATGTTTTTTTTTTGCTCAGGTAGAAAGATTTAGGGTTTGAGAAAGTAAAAGTGACTGAAGTTAGTTCATCCTTGCTGAGAGGCAGTGAGTGTGATGTAACACTCTAAATATGAAACACAACATAAACAACACCACACACATTTCTGATCGCACCTTTCAGTGGTTTAATTAATAAAAATCTGTTGAGACTACAGGACATCATATTTTGCTGTTCATCTATATCGTTTGGCTGTTATTATGCTGTATTTCCTGAAAAAATATCCACAAGTAATGTATAATAATCACATTTTTGTTCATTTACAACTACTGTACACTTGTACAACTATGTACAAAAAAGCTTTGGAAATCAGAAAAATCATGTTAGAAACTAAATCTAGTCTTGTTTGTCTCCTTCCATGCTAGTGTATGTATGTTTCTATCACATATCTGAATGAGTTATATCTAAGATTAACGGCTATAAATGTACATAATACTTAATTACTTTACAATCACAGTTCACAACTGCAATGTGTGGATATGAAGCAAGCATTGGGAATACATCTCTCTTTGATGCACAATTTAAAATCTTTTTTTGTACATGTTTGGAGATGTTAAGTCAATTTGTTACAGGGTACAGACAGTTGGGAAATACATGAAACTTAACAATAAAATCACAATCAATAAGTACATGTACTACCATCACTGAGAAGATTGCACCATAAATGGGCACACAAACCTAAAGCAGTTCTGGTTTACAACTTGTGGAATCAATGGTTTCAAAAGCATTGCAGTCAAATATGCAGTATAATGAAGATCAATACTACAAGGTATGGCTTTAGTCTCAAACTGTTTTAACGATGGCCACAACTGATTTGACATTGCATCACAGATTGGCTTATTACATTTGTGACAGTGCATACAAATGAATAATTTGATGACCCACCTGTTGGTCTTGTGTACAGTATCTGGTTGGTAAAAAAGAAAAACGACCATATGTGCCACGGTACCGTTACAAAATAAGGCAAAATGGTAAGAAATTAACTGTCACAGAGGTACAAACATGGATACTGATGTCATAGATATCCAATCTTAGATGACCAATCACAACTTGCCATTCAACTAACTCTACAACAAAGGAACAAAATTTCTAATTTGTTACAAATTGACTTAGATGCACTAACATACATACACTATATCATGGAGTAATTATTGCATTGAAACGTATGAATACTTCATACAAATATTCAAGAATCCCTTGACACTTTCCACAATCAACAACCATTTTAACACTGCTTTCATCAGAACTTTTTTTAAGTAGTCCAAAACTTAAATCCTTATTTGTTCAGTCGACACATCCTGGCAAGATTCAGAACTTGACATTCTCTTGTATGTACAAAAATTGAAGATTTTTTTTTTGTGTAACTGGCAGCAACTACTGCTCACATGATAATTTGTTCCTCAAATCTTCTCACTTAAAAAATTAATCAGCACAAATGTCATTGCAAAAGTCCAGCTGTGATTTTTTAGTTTGAATTACAGTACCAGAAATGGTTCTGCAAACATATTATCTGCACTATGATTGGTCTATGTGATTACGTGCTGGAAAAAATTGTCTGCATGAAGACAGATCTACAGGTGAATGGAGAGTGGCATATAAAAAGCAAATATTACCTATTATCAATCTTGATGCAGTGAATTTACAAACTTTCACACAATGTTGGGTATCTAAAAATCTTCAGCTTTTTGTATGTGAGCTAAGACTATCAAAATATAACAGTACAATGTGACAGCAACTTAGTTAAAGCAAGACATACCATGAACTATTAATACATGGAAAAACTTTGATGGTTAAAAAGATACACAAATTTTTTACTAACTACAACACAGTCCCTGTTGGGCATCTGTTTACCCCCATGTTGCTATGACAGCAACATACACCTTTAGAATTGCAAATCTTTACGTAATAAACTCTTAGGACGGTACTTATTAGACTATACATAGAATAGATATTCTATAGAGTGCTTGAAAATTGCGGTTGTAATAGTTGAGATTGATGTAGCTAGGTGGGTGAGGTTATCCAATGTAACAATGTCTACAAATCCTGATCACACTTTGGACCACATTTCTTGAGTCTAATATAGACAAATTATCTGTAAATATAATTTTCACTGTTGAGTAGTACATGGTAATACAGTATATGGTTTTTGTTGTAATATCATTTCATTTAACAGGGAGATAGAATTCCTACTTAGGCTACTTTTCTTTTGCAAACAATAGAATAATTGGTGACAGAATGTCTTATGCTGAGGTCTTATGCTAGTGTGAACAGCAGACATCAGCTGTCGGAGTCCGGCGAATCCAGCTCTTCGCCTCCCGTCTGCCGTGTGATGTTCGACACGATCATCTGAGCAATCTTCCACGCCATCTCCTCCTTTTCCTCGTCCGGTTCACGAGACACATATTTTTTCCACAGTTTGGACGCTAACAGAGGGAAAAAGATAAAGTCAATGTTATGCCAATCAATCCCACACAGTATTGTGAAAGCATACTACTTTGTGTGTTGCGATTGTATTCCAATAAATACCTTAAAAATCTATTTGAAACACATTTTCTAATGTACCAGTACATTTTGCATATCATTTTATCGAACATAAAACTGTACTGGAAAAAAATCTTAACATTTCTAAGCTGGTTATGTCTTAGTAAGCAATGTATAATGTATAGCTGTACTTGTGATGTTTAAAACGTTTGTAAAACTTGTTTGATTTTCCTGTTTGAAAATTTCAAAAATAAGAATATGTTTACCTGAAGACTGTTTGGTTCTCTCTGATTCTGGAAGGACTTCATACTCTGGTATAAACTGGCCCAACTCATTCATTCTCCCGACAGACATATTCCTGGGTAAAACAGAGAACTGTAAGCATAAGATACCTGAAATCGTGTAAGTATGCATGGAACTGTAGATAGTTAAGCTTTTATTTACCTCACTTCTTACTTCAACAATGCTCAGCTAGAAGAAATCTGTCAGTAGGAGGGCTATGTAGTACTGGAATAGAGCTTCAAACAGCATATTCAACAACAGCAACCAATACCCAACAACAATACAATAGATACAAAAATGTGTTATGAACAAGACAAAAAGGATATTACTGTATACAGGGGTGACTACAGCAAGAGAAAAGAAGTCTCTGTATACACCGTGACTTATTGTAAACTGTAAGTTGGGGAGAGATCAACTTTGTTGAGTTGAAAAAAAATTATTAAAAAAAAAGGAAAGTGAGACAGAAAAACTTGGAATAAGGACAGATATCAAATAGACAAGTCCTGATTCACCTTGTCTCACTGCTTCTGGCATTTTGTGGTGGAGATGTGCATGCAAGGAACAAGGCACAAATGTTAACCACACACTCCTGCACGAGTAATGCCTACTGTACAACTGCTGTACAATACTGAAGCAGCCAACACACAAGACTTTGGCTTGCTTGGAAGACTAGGACAATGGAACCGTGAAGTATAAAAAATCACTGGGATGCTTAAGCAGTGTGTTTTCTGTGGTTCAATATCTGAAACTTGTGAACACCTTTTCACAGTTAAAAAAGCACCATATGTTGCTGAAAGTGTTGATTTATCATTACAAACACCTTACAAAAAGGCCAGTCCAACATGCAACTCTCTGTCTGATTACTAGGTGGCTACTATTGTGTCCTTGAAAAGGCAATGGAATGACCAAATCCAATGCACTTCTACAAAACACAGAATGAAACTGTAACTAACCCAACATTTGGCCTTTGCCAGAGCTGGTCGGGGTTGAACTGATGAGGATCTATCCTGAAGTCGTTGTCCAGCCCCTTGATGACTTTGGTGCTCTGTTTCTCCTGCTTGTGCACCACTCCCCCGGCTAACAGTGTGTTGGTGGTGGTGGTGTTAGAGCTGCCCACACTCCCAGCCTCGCTGCTCGCATTGCTACCCTGCCGACGATGGCCCTGAGGAAGTTCACGTTTTAGTAAGACATGGATGGTGCAGTGTTCTAGCCAGCATCCATCTTTCAATCATTTTACTGAATTGTGCAGTTCATGACCAACAAAACTGTTGCCCAATCCATCATCTTCTACAGAAAAAATCGGTGTGTAAACATGTACAAAGCAATACCAGTATGATTAAACTAAGCTTAGGCTATCAGCAAAATTTGGCCCTCAAAATGCAGGAAATAGCATTTCAAAGGGCCAAGATTTCAAACTTTTCAGGGCAAAGCATCCTCCCAGACTGCCTAGGATCAACACGCCTTCTGTGCATGACAAGATGAGATGATGAGACAAAATTGAGATGATGGAAAAAAAATATCAGGCTGGCTAGAACACCGGGACAGTGTAGTTCATTTCTTTTGCATTGGAAGAAAAAAATCACAGTTTTTGTACAATGCTTGTTATGCAAATAGTTCTGACCTTGTGATGTGGGCTGGGGGAGGGAAGGCTGCCTGTGCTCTTCACGTCGGTCTTGATGGTGTTGATGAGCTCATTGAGGTACTTAAAGTACAACTCACTGGTCAGGAAGGTGGGGAAATACATCTGGAAAACATAACGGGATGGGACATGTAAATCGTCAGTTGTAGCTTTGATTTTCCTGTTCCCTGATGTATGTTCTTGTATATGGATATACTATCATGAAAGTTCATCTGGTAAGTGACATCAAGACTTACAGATTCTATAGTGGTGAGGGTTTGTCTCATCGGTGTCTCAAAGCAGTTCGGTAAGGGGCCTCCCTCGCGACAGATCTGGTTCTCAATCTCAAATCTTGTGGCCTCGTCTACACCGAGAGGGGTGGTCGCTTGCAAGGAAAAATACCTGTTGGGAAAATGAATATATTTACACAAATAAGCTTCATTTTCTGGGGTGACAATCAAAATACAATACTGCCTGGCCAATTTAATATCATACAAAAGATCTGCTTGGAGATTTATAACGTATAACAGGATCTGTAAGAAGACCTGATGTGTCCTTACTTATCATACAGCACCATGGCATCATTCTGTGCCTCCAGCCCGTCATACTGCCCCTGCTTGGAGGCCAGCGTCTGTTGGAAGTTGTTTGCAGCCAGCCAGAACTGTAGCAGGTTCATGGCTCCTTCTTGTTCCATAAACTGTTGAAGACAAGACAGTGGTTGGTTTGTAGCTCACTCTTTTAAGTTAGAAATAGATAAATGATGTCACAATTCCAGTAAAGAAAGTGTAATGGCTATGCCATGCCAAGTATCTCTTCACTACTCTATTCACTTGATGTTAACAGTAGCAAAATTTCACAGTCTGAGAAAAACTATTATTTGTTAATGGTAATGATAAGTTCACGCTACAGAAGTCACCTTGAAAATTGTGAAGACAAAAGTGCAGTGGAAAAAAGCAGGAATTATGGTATCCTTCATTGGCTTTCAACACTTTTAAAATGGGAAGGAAAAATGATTTTTTGTCTTTCGGTGATCATTGCCACATACCTCCATGAAGTAGAACAAGGCTGTGTCATTATACAGGATGTCAGCAAGAAAGACATCACCGCTGGTCAGCACATCAATCTGGTGTTTACAGTGGAACTCACTCTTCAGATAGGACTGGTAGTGGCTATCAACACAACACAGTTTTAAAATTCAACACTTTCATCAGTTTTAAAATTCAACATTTTCATCTACTTCTGCAAAAATTATTTTCTAGGTCTTATAAACAAAGTTGTTTGCTGTCATCCAGGGACCTATAGTGTTATTTGTTTCATGCAATGAGTATCATATTACACTTTCTTGACCCCATCATTCAACAAGATTCAATCCAAGCTGAAGGTGTTTGTTTCTCTTATCCTATCACCTGGCTTAAGTAGTAATGATACCGAAAACTTACACTCTCTTAGGGGTCAAGTTTCAACAACTGCTTATACTATTATAGTGGGAAGACTAGTCTAGTAGATTTTACCCTAGATAGACTCCACACACGAAACTGACATCAGTTTAGCCTTGATGTGAGGGTTTACGTTAGATAGAACAGTAATCTGCAGCAATTCCATTAGACTTTTTAGAGGGAGACTGCACACTCCAAAGACTTGAGCCAGGATAAACAGTTTGTACCAGCTCTATCACAAGTCCAACTCTGCTGCACTTTGGCAACAAAACCAAGTGTTTTGGTCTGGTGTGCCTATCAACACCAGGCACTTGTAGTGTTTACAGTTTAGCCAAAGCGTAGTTCAATATTCCCACTGTAAATCTGAACACTACCTTTACAAACGAGATCTATTTTGGGATAAATAGTGAGTCTAAACGATTTTGTGTCCACTGGCACATTCTTCTCTAATGAGCTACATTTAAAGGTAGAATTTCCTTTGGACAGCATTTAAGAACTTCTAAATCATCATCATCAAAAACTGTTAATGAAATAGTATCTCTGCAAAAAAAAATATGAACTGTTGCAATATACAAAGAGAAATTGATTAATTCAAAATAGTTAATAATAATACACCATTTGTTTATTTTTGAAGTTAGACTTAAAGGTTTT